CTTATGATTCTAAATTCAACATGTTTCTTGTTCATTCATCTTCTTCTTTTTTTGTAGTAATCCTTCTGCGGTAAACGATACAGCCGAAGCGATGTACACCATTATCTATTTGAATAGCTTAAAAGCGCTTTTCTCACGTTATGTGGGCATGAGTTTTTATGGATTTGGACTTGTTGGTGGTCTACTAAACACCTATGTGTTTTCGCAATCATCACTTCGTTCAAATCCATGCTGTTTGTTTTTATTAGCTCTCAGTATTGTTGATGTTTTGCATATTCATAATAGTCTTCTCATTCGCGTTCTTCAAGTTGGTTTTCATTGGGATCCGATAGCCATTATTCCATTGATATGCCAATTACGATACTATATTGGCTATGTACTTATTACACTCTATATGATATTTCTTACCTTTGCATCCTGCGAACGATATGCATCGACATGCAACCGACAGAGTCAGTGGCGTCGGTTCAGCAAACCTAAGAATGTGAGTTATACTATACTTGGCTGCATAATCATTTGCTGCTTAGTATGCTTATTTATACCTTTTTGCTACAGCGTTACTCACAGTTCTGCATGTACAGTTCAGAATTCTATTTGCACGACACTTACTACCGTTTACACGCTCATAGTAATCGGATTTGTACCACCAATCTTCGTCACAATATTTGCTTGGCTCACTGTACGTAATTTACGTATCATACGTTATCGCTCTCGATCAGCACCGATTTCCTACAAAACTTATCTACGCATTAAAGATGCAAACGAACAGTTCACATCAATGCTTTTCATGCAGATAGTCACCATGTTAATTAGTAGTGTACCCTATGGATCGCTTATGATCTATCAATTGAGTACTCGTCATATAAACAAAAGTCCCGTACGAATAGCATGGGAACAACTGATCTCACAATCAATTCACTTACTTATTTACCTCAACTATGTATCTTCTGCCTACATTTACTTGGGTACCTCACCGATGTATAGGCAACATTTAATATCAAGAAAAAAACAGTCTAGCGTGCGAGTTGGAATAGGTCATGAATTCATCAGCAGTATCTTCGCATCACTAAGTCGAGCGGAAGATGGAAAGAAAGTTCCTTTAGTACCAATTCATACTGCTGAAGTCACCGAACAAAAACAACAACATCATCATCTCACCGTTGTACCGTTGCATATGACGTCGCATAGTAAGAATGGTTCAACGGCAGTTAAATTATGATCAACATGCTCCAAATCGATAATGTTTTTACATTTATCGACTTAGAGCATAGACGAAAGAATTTATTTATAATTACAAATATCTTTTTTTCTTTTTTCTTTGATGTTTTATCAATACTTAAAATCTTATTTAAACAGAAGTGTAAAATATAATAATTATTAGTATGATTATTTACAACTGAAAATATCTACAATAGAAGAGAAAATTATAAAGAACCATTTATGATTGTACATTACACTTTTGTCCTTCTCTTCTCTACAAAAATATAAAAATGAATCTATTTATTTTATTCATATTCCTAGTTCATTTTGTATAGAACTTTTCGATTGCTTGTCAAAATGTAATTATTCACTTATATAATATGCTCAATAGATATTCAATATTCATATCGAAACACTTGTTAAATTAATTACTAAACGACACATGATTGTTTTGTGATAACAATAAACTGATACTAAAATTATATTAACATCATATAGTAATACAACACTTGACAATAGAGAAGCCAATAGATGATGAAATTATATTACAAGGTTTTGCGTGTTGATTATCTTTTCAAGAATTAAATTGTCGTCGTTGATATTCATTGCATGATGAATGCTATTAATCAACTGTAGTACTTGACCTTAAAACCAACATGATAAAAGCACAAAATTTACAAAAAAATGCATTTGTATTTATTAAATCCATATTCCATCCAGACGTTATTTTTGAAGTTCAACCAAAAGCAATGGAAATCATATTTATAATAAATGAAAAAAGAAAAGAAAAAGTACATGACTTTGAACGAAGAGATGATCGAGAAAAATAACCATTAAATTGCAGTGAAACACTGTTCGATATATATATATGTCAAGGATATATCCGTCATTTAAAGGTCATAGTTAAAAATAAATGCTTAAAAGATCATATAACACATAATCTTATATGCATGTATCTTTAGAATCTCCCACATGTAATAGATATTTTAATAAAAGAAAGCAACATAACCTGATACTGCCTATTATACATGCTTCAAAGGAAAAGTAGAACTTATCATTTTCGGTTTTATTCTAGTATACGAATAACAATAGCTGAATAATATTCTTAGACAAAAAAAAGAACAATTTATACCCTGGTTTCTATCAATGAATTCTTAGTAACCATAAACAATCAATTTGGGACATATTTTATAATATAATTATTTTCCTATAGTTTTATTCTATTCAGATATATGTAGTATTTATTTGAATTCTATGTCTGTTTTTAAAGTACAAAAATACAATGTTAATGCTTTATTTTGTTTTGAATAGTTCCATGAGTCCATTACGAAATGTATTTCCACCACATAATGTATATATATAAAATGGCATTCCGCTTGCAAGATATGTTAATAGAAGAACAAAATTATATATAAATTTATCTATTGTTATATTTAATGATGATTTCATTTGATTCATTGTTAATGTTGTATATAATTTTTCAATACCTTGTGGAATTGTGAGAATAGTTGAAAATATAATTTGAATAAAAAGTACATGACGTAAATGTCGATCAATTCGTTTTCTTTTTCGTGTTTGAAGATTTGTTGATTTTAATTTTTTTCTATTATTTTCACTTGTTTCAATTAATTCTGATTGTGATAACCTATGGGAATGTATTCGACGTATGTTTGATAATGTCATCAAACCAAATATGCACATAATTAGTAATGGACATAAGATTGTGACTAATGCATATGTTAAATCAGTTACTAAACGACATGTGACTGTTTTACCATAGCAATGGAGTGGTGCTGAAATCATATTAGCATCATAACAATACAACACTTGACAATAGAGACATAAAGACAAGATGATAATAACAATCGTTCCTTGTTGAGCATTTTTTAAAGAACTAAATTGTCGTCGTTGACATTGATTAGATGATAAAAGGCAACGATCGATTGCTGCAAATGCTACGAGCCAAAAAGCAATCGATCTCGAAACGAACATCATAAAAGCACGAATTTTACAAAGAAATGCATTTGTATTTGTTATATCCATATTCCATCCAGACAGTATTCTTGAAGGTAAACCACAAGTAATGGAAATAATATTTGCAATAGATGAAATAAGAAAATAAAAAGCACATGGATTTGAACGAAGAGACGGTTGAGATAAAACAAGACAATTAAGTAAATTACCAATAGTACCAAAAAGAAAAATAAAAGTGGAAAAATAACGATTAACTTGTGTAGATATATGATCAAGAATTTCAGATATATCTATATCTAGCATGTTTAATATTGAAGAATGTAAATGTTCATTGGTTTCTATCTAAAAAAGATAAAATTTTTACCTATACGCATAATATAATCTCAGGCTAAGAAGATATTAAATGGCATTATCTACTTAAAGAAAGATGTAGTTTCACAGTTCTATAAGAAAATGCATCTGATAGGCATTTCATTTATAATTACAACGATACTTTGTCATGATTTTTTCAAGTTTATTATGTACATATATTATATAGAGAATAAGAGTATTACCTTTACAGTACCAGTACTAATGACATGCTGTGTTATATACTTTCCGAAAGACAGTCTGACCTTTTATTCACTCACCAGTCTACAGCGAAATTATTTTGATCTAAATAATAAATAAAATAAAATAAAACATTAGTCTAAAGTTGACTTTACAAACCTTGTTTATTGATCACAAAGATCAATTGAAAACAACGATTGTTCTAATCAGAATTAATGCATTCATCATCCAATAAATTAGAAGTTGCCGCTCAAAAAAAAAAATAGAGATGATATTTTCTTCTGATTAATATTTCTTCAACTAAATAATAGTATAGAATAATAAAAGACATAGAAAAAGAAGACAAGCAAAATATCCAATAATATTCATGTATAGAGAAACGTTGAGAAAACTATGAAAGCGTAGATTGAGAATGTCATATTATTTTGTTTCTTAAAAAATCTATTTGAAACCATTCATTGTTTTGATTATATATGAGCATCACTATTTTTATAACGATTTATATTGATAATTGCAGGGTACTCTTTTTTTTTCTATTAATTTTAACAGCAAGACACAAGTCTTTGTATGTTTCGATAATATTAATTCCTGTTAGAAACAAAATAAATTTGTCAGTCATCATATAAATCATTGCTTTTTATATATAACCTTGGCATAATTACGGGCAAAAACTATTGTTTATCTGAAAATTTTGCAAAGTTTAACAATTATTCATAGATCAACAAAATGATTACAAAGATTACCATATCAAGAAGTAAGCTTATAGCAAAACTATTCATTAAGATATTAAATGAGTTACAAAAAATATTATCATTAAGATCATCGAATAGAAATTCAATGAACAAGATGAAATATTAAAATATTATAAAAGTGAATAGTTTTTCTAGATAATATAGGTCGAAATTAATTATATTCATGGTAAGTATAGGTAATCATTACATGCAAATAGCAGCTAGATAATTATCTCAAGTACCATATAAAAATCTTATGGATAGAAGTATAATGAGAATATCATTATATAAAAGATTAAATGTTCTTTTGACTTCGTTCTCTTTTTTTTCTTTATAATATTGAAAACTTTACCTGAATAAACTATATAGATACAACGTCCTTTTTAATTATGATTAAGTCAAACAAAAATATTCTAAACGATTCATATTTTTTATCTATAATAGCAATAATAAAGAAACTGTGTGACTTTGTTTACTAAGACAAGAATATCATGAAACACAAGAACGATAAAAATATCGGATACGACATAAGAATATCTATTGTCACAGGTACTTTGGTTTGTGAGCATGATTTATATAAAATCTGAGCTATTTACTTCCGTTGCTAACAAAGAATAATACTATTATTAAATAAGAAGAAGTTGACGTTGACAACATTATATGATATAAATCAAAATGTTTTATACATATATTCTATAAACCTTCTAATAAACTATCTGATGATAAGAATTTTTGTTTTGTTAAGTTACCTTTCTTTTATTATTATTCATTTTAGAAAAAAACTAACTATTTAGTTATGTACGCTTTTACCTTAACAATAACAGAATATGTTGACATGATAAAAAACATGACTGCTGAGTTATGTACCAGACATCGGCGGGACAAGGATTTTTCTGTCCCGTCCCGCCTCCCGCACAAAAACATTTTCAACGTCTCGTCCCGTCCCGTCCCGTCGTCTCGTATCAAAAATTTCTATCAGTTTATTTTATAAACGATAAAGATTTAAGTAGTACTTTACTATTAATTTTCTTTAACTGTTTATTTTTAAATAAATTTATTAAATAATTAAAAAAATCTAATTTGAAAAAAGTTTATCTCATAGAAAAATAACCATTTAATAATATTGATCGAAGAAATAAAGTATTATCTACTTGAGATGGAGAAATATTAGTTCGACGCTTGGCTTCAACTTGACCTTATATAGGAGCTGTAGGTAAAGCAAATATACAGCATAGTTCTCGAATATTCTTTCTTTCACTTAGTACATGTTCGCTGTTATTAAAGCAAAGAAAGACTTATGCTCTTTCTTTTTGTAGAACAAGTACAAATCTATACCTAGTATAGGTTTCATGTGGATGATAAGGATAAAAGCGATCATATATTGGAGATAAGAAATAGCAAATAAGATCATTGAAATGTTCTTTAAAAGATATCGTTACTAACAATATTTAGCATTTTTCTTGTAAATAAGTCACTGGAGTATATAAATTCAATGAATATTGATCGCGGGACAATTCCATATAAAGTTTTTCCCCGTCCCGTCGCGGGATGGGACGGGATAATCCCGTTGTCCGGCCGATCTCTGTTATGTACGATTTTACTTTAACAAAAACAGAATATGTTGACATAATAAAAAAATATGAGTGTAATATTTCTTTAAACAAACCATAAACATGAGGTTCAGATCAAGAATTAATTCAAGAATTGAATAGTACTATATGATGATAAACAACAAGGAAATTATTTGCTTATTAACGTAAGAATTTTATTTCTTGAGGATGTGGGTGTGAGTATGAGCGTATATACTTCATCTTTTTATCGAACCGCACTCACCACACACCTTCGTTCTATATTGTTACACTGTATATATAAACAATAATAATTCCATAGATTAATCATTTAAACTATTTCTCATAAGAATATTTGGTTTTTTCGATCTCCAGAAATGATTTAATATCATTTCATTGTCTATACAATAATATTTTCTTGTATCAATCATCTGAAAGAAAAGGCATTTTTATACAATTTCGTAGTAAATTAAATGGTTCCTATATCAATAAGAAAGATTTTTGTTTAGAAATGGTTTTATTTAACGACATACAAGAAATTAATCAACTCTTTTAATTATTTATTTTCTCGTTGAAGACTAAAATAGAATGTCTTTTTTGTTAGTCTTATTATTTAATTGTAATGAATGTAATATTTATTTAGTATTTAATAAATATGATACAAAAAAGGATTAGCTCATAGTCACTTCTTTCTCTAGAAAAATTATTAAAGATAAAACTTTCATTTAATAAAATAAAATTTCCATAGTTCATCTCTTTTCTTTGCAACTATAATTAATTATGTAATATACTAATATAAAATAATACTTAAAAGATTTCTTTTGAGTCATAGATGAGAGATTTTCAAAAAATTCATTTCGGTTAAACATTACTCTGAATCGTTTCCCATGAATAATCTACGCTTGAAAAAGTCAACACCTTTTTAATTAGATAAATTGTCATTATTAATTGTAGATTTACGAATGAATATAATAAAATGTATAGAAATAGAAATGATTTGATAATATAATTTGCATAGATAATGTATCTATTATCCTTATCAGTACTAAATAAATGGCATTCTCAATAGGAAATTCTTCCATTGAAAAAACTCTTGTATTTCTTATGTGAATGTATGCATAACAAAATTTTCTTAGGTATGAATGATGTTTACTTGTTAATCTATGTTAAATATTTTCTACATAGATCTTTTCAATCGAAATGTGATGATGATGATGATGAAAACAATTTTCTAAAGCAAATCATTTTAAAAACTACTTACTGAACTCTGTTACATAAACATATATTTTATTTTTCTACCTGGATTCTTATTTTCATATATATATCTAAATAGAATATTCTCGATGAATTCTTTTGAATGGCTTATATAATTGTTAGCAGACGAGAAAGAGCGACAGAAGAAAGTTCATAAACGCAATGTACCACTGACCTATTATTATTCGTCGGATAAATATTCTACAATGTGTGTACATATAAATCATGGTCGTTCGACGAAAAACTAATACTTACACTGACTTTTATAAGATTTTTATAAAAAAATAGCTAAAGATTAATCTTAATAAAATATTCAATATCACAAGATTATGAATTTCTAAATTCGTTGTACGAAAATTTTTTTCTTTTTTTCCTTCGCTCTGTTACTTCTCATGTGACCTGATGTTTTTCTGCGCCTTTCATTGGTATACCTTGTTAACAACGCCCACACATGATTCTCATCTTCCTCGTGTACTCCGCGTAGCAATCATCATCGTTATCGTACTTTTTCTTGTGTTTTATTTCATATTTTCTATTAGTAATTTTATCTTACTATTTTCTGAATCTATTTTCTAGAATATGTTGCAATAAGTTAAATATGAATACCACCAATAGAAAATCTAAACGAGAACGTTCAAAGTAAAATATAGAAATTTGTTAAAAAATGAATATATTTTTATTTTATTATATTTTAGAGAAGTGTCAAAACGGTCACCCGCAAAAAGGTGAAAAGAACATTTTTTGTTCTTTATTATTCTTTCCTTTTTCTTTTTTTTTGATAGGAAATTTCGAAATGAAAGTGAAAAACGTCGACGAGATTTATTTAGTCAATTAATTTCTAGTTTAGAAAATATACTTAATATTGATAAAAACTCATCGTCTACTGATCAAACAAATAAATCAGATAAAGCATCAGTTTTACGTGAAACTGCACTTTATTTAAAAAAACATCAAAATGGTAAGATATCAATTTTTTTCTTTCATTAATTACAACGAAAAATAAATTCTTGAAAATATCTCATAATAAAAGAAGAAAAATTGATTTCAAACATATTTATTTGAATATAATAAATAGATTTAACAATTCAACTAAATGTTCCATCAACAAGTTGTCGAACAACTGATGAAGTTGTGAATTTTTCATGGAAACCTCCATCAAATTTAGTGACAACTGACGAATGGACTCAAATAGCTATAGAAG